GTCTGTTCTCATCTCTGGCTGCTGAGTTCCACCTTAATGCGCTAAGAATGACACTGTACTCACCATTGTACTGACTCAGCTGGGTAATAGCTACCAGAACCACCTGACATTGTGTCCAGGATACATCTCATGAATAGTGCGCGACATAAGACCACCTTCTGCTGCTGTGAGTACCATCTGTATAGTTCTGACGTTCACACCACTCTCGCTTGAGACGCACTCCTCTTTTCCTGGCCTAATCAGTGTGATGAATCCAAACCATAGGGGAAAGGTGCCGGACTCGATTTTTGCACTTTGCAAAGTCCATCACCAGCGCGTACATTGACCAAATCAGGGCTTGAACTCCTGATATCTAACACGCAAGCTCAACGTATCACCGCCACTTCACCAGCACACGCTGAACACACCCGACTTATCATATGTGAACATGTAATGGTCGCACTATATGATCAGCGCCGGACAAACTATGCCTCTCATGAATGATGTGGGCCACCAAGCCACCTTTTCATACCCTAGGGGGTCTCAACTGTTCTGGCTTGACAGTTATGGGCTGTCAGTTTGGTAAGTTTCCTGTTCACTCACAAGGCTTATTACCCGGGGTTCACACCAGGTTAAGGGCGTTCAGTTGGATGCACATGTGTCTCAGCAAAAACCGCATGTGGCGTTATCCACTGTGCGCGGAGGTCCATCGGTTCCTTTCGGTTTGACAGGCTACCATCCTGAAGTTACTGCAGCGGAATTTGCCTTCGTCACCATTTTACGAAAACAAAGTATTTGTTAGTGGGACTGGATTTTACACTGCATTTGAATAGCCTCGTTATATCGACCTAATGCTCGACAATGGATGTAAATGCAGAGTGATCGCAAGCTGATAGAGCCCTGAAATGCACTCAGGCACCCGGTGCAGCTGCCTTGATGAAGACTGTATACATGACACGATTAAACTTCCAGCCTTCTGGAATCGAGCCAATGGGTGATTGGACGTCCATCATATATCACATACCTGGTACAGTTTTTGGTTGACTGCACTCCTGAATCCACAGACTTCTTTACACTTGCACCTTGTTACCTGGATAAGGTCACGCCGTTGGGGCGATTGGATTGGACTGCGACTTTCACGTAAAGTTGAGTACGAAGGACAATAGTATCTTTCGATACTGAAAAAAAAATCGTTCACCTCCAACACTTTTTCGATGCCCAACTCCAATGCCACCAGAAGGAAGCACGAGGGTTGCGTTACTGCCAGGTTGCCCAAGCCTAGACAGGGGAAGTCGAAAGGTGGAGGTCGGTTCGAACCACGGACCTTCCGGTGAGTAAATTCCCGCTCTACCCACTGAGCCATCTAAGAAATAATCGATTACGTAACCCCAGTCAGGCCCAGCTCAGTATGCTGATGTTCTTCTCCGGGTTTGGGATCCATTACTAGACAAACAAGCCGCTTCGTCATATGAAGATAACACAGTGAAAATATCCTATGCCATTAACCGAGGATTATTAGTTGTCAGACAATCCTCTCGACCTCACAACGTCCCACACGGAGAGATCGAACTAACAGTGAAAAACAATTTCACAATGAGGGTGGCGGAGGGAACACACTAACCCGTCACATGGACCGAAGTAGGCATACGAACACAGCCTTCTGTGAACTTTCTTTATGGCATGTAACGATCAGAGGCAGACTAGTAGGTGGACTCATCAGGTCGTTGTGACGGTCGTGAAAGCGGTAACCGTAGTGAAACGACTACTTGATGATGACGATCTTATGATTCAGACCGATAGGCACATTTTTGGAAGCTGATGCAACCAAACACTTGTTCGATGAAAAAGAATTCGCAATCGATGAATTTGTCCATGAACGAATGATAGCAAGCTTTCAATGTGATGGATAACCGTACACCGTGGCCGAATTTGCAGACAAGTGATTTTGTATGTTTGATTAGCCTGCTGAAACGAAAAGTCCAATTTATGGAAATGCATTTCGAGTAGCGACCACTAATATTTCCTCACAACCATCCCCGAGGGAATGCGTGAATTAATTAAAGCACAGCTGATTGTCACCACTGCTAAGTGAACTCAGCTGTGACAAACGCCAACGCGGGGAAAATAGAGAAAATTAGGCAAAGCGTGACCAGGTTCAAGGAGCGGTTCGAAACCCAAGTGTTATTCTATTCTGGTTTATAGCAGAGTCACAACGAAATCAACTGTTTTACAATAGCTATCTCCGTTCTACTGGATGGAAACTTGACTACCACACTAATGATGGGGCACATGCTTCGAGCAAGCTATCAAAAACATGGGACTGATTGTCGCGTGACAACGAGGCTCATGCATGCACAGTATCTGTGTCAGGTCCACTCACTCCATTTGGGGCAAGATATCCCACACATTCGATCACTCTGGGGTCCGACCCCGCGTTATGAAGGCCATCTTCGTACTGTTTATCGGGCAAACACTCCCTAGGCCGAGAGGAAATGCGGAGTTATGAAGGCTACCGTTGTGTAGTGTTCTATAATCTAACTCGTTGAACTCGAGATAACTCAGCGGTTAAGGCATTGAGGCCACTACCCAAAAAGTTGGAGAATCCAACTCAACCTTGATTTTGCGATTGCCCCTATGTAGGCTTAGGCAGTCTGATAGAGTCCTGGCCTTGGCGTTTCCTTGTGACTGCACGGCAGCTATCCACCGAAAAGATGCCACAGCCGAACGATGGCAGGGTAATTAGATGGACAACATAGAACAAGCGACCAACACGCTGTATATTCGACTACCACGTACTTCTACAGTGACTGCCCACAATTCCATTTTCATCCCTTTTGAATTCTTGACAGAGTTACCTCGAAACATGTCAAAACTTTCTGTTCGGGGGGGGATATAACATGACCTGCAAAACGTCTCCAAAGTTGTTCGTCTCAATAATAATTTTAACGTGTACACGTCAGGGGCAAACACTTTTCGCATGCGCCTCTTCGCTTCGCTAAATATTCTGTTAAACGAACCGAAGTCTATTCTACAACTGCGGGCCTCACCTAGCGATGAAGCCCTCTACGCGATGAAGACAGGACAGGCCGAAGCATAAATTAACAAAAAATGTTTTGGAACGTACCAGCACCGCCCGTTTTGCGTCACCGATAGGACACCTTCCAGATTACTCGTCATGCAAACATATCGGCGCAGTTATTATCATCACTCCTAGAACTCGTCCAACCTAAGACACATGAAGCATAGCCGTATTTCCGAGAATCGCAGGAAGACAAATCCAAATACGACTAATTTTGATCTGAATACAACATAATACTGAAAATAATGAGTAGTTACTATACCTAAGACTAATTTTGCGGATATGAGGTGGGATCAGGGTTAAGGTTTCCAGCGAATCGTTATTTTATCTTCGCTATATCAAAGTAAATATTTGACCTAACATGAGCCTTCGCCAAAGGGGCACCCAGTGATCAAATTTATCCCGGTGAGTTCACGGTTTTATTCACTAGCAGCTTATTTCGTAACAACTGCACACACTACAGGCAAAATGCGAGGATACACATGTCACTCAGCCCCTCACCATATCCAAGATCTGTGGCCCGCGACACAGACGCTGGATCAAAGAACAAGAACGGTTAGCAGAAAGCATATAATACAAAATGTGCAACTCAAAAAATGCGTCCAAAAAGGAAGTCATCCGTCTATTTACAATATCGGTCTGATTTCATCTTTTCCCGTCTGCAAAAAAAGCAAAAAGGCAAAATAAGGCGAACATAAATCAATACGAATTTAGTGACCGCTGTGAAAACCATGTACTCGAGCATTCAAACACACAATCCAATGAGCTTAAACACGGAAATAAGTAGTCAGATAACTACCCTATTTGCGCGCATTCCGTGACTGTAACGAGAACGATGGCTTCCTTGAACAGCTAACTTCACACACATTGAGCATGGACAATACAGCTTTTGTAAATCGCGCTACTTATGAAGTTGAAAGTAGCCCAATTACAAAAGCAAAAAAGCATTTTTACCTCACCTGTCAAGTAGGCATTCGTGGAGATCCCCAGAACGTTTTGCATGCTTCAGTGCGCTCTTTTCTTCCTTACTAAGTCGAAGTTTGTGATCTTGCCAACTTTGAAATTTGCGTCTGAAAAGCAACGGTGTAAGTGGAGGAGTGTTTCAGCAAAAATGAACGTCACAGATATCTACGTGGGAGTATATGGTGCATGTTTGAAAGGGGTTTGATTTATTACAGAGTCAATCGCCTTCGTTTAGTAAACCAGCAAAAGCTTGCTGTGATGTCTTCATATTAACCATGGTGACTTTAAGTAACGCTTGTCGGAACACACCAAAGCGGACCCAGCATGTGCCGTCTCGACCTGCCGTTCCAACGCAGGTCACTTTACGGTAGCTTGTAGTATTCCCCTGAAGCGAGTACTCACGATTTGCCGTGTAAACTAAAGGGAGAAGAGCTGGAGTGGAAAATACGATTGGAACCAAGAAATGGAGCCAGGGAAGAAATTTTGAGGTAGAGAGCGAAAACCCAAGTTAGCAAGACATTTCTCTCCAGAAGGTCCGATAAGGTGGTGAGCAGGATTCAAGTTGCCTTAATCTTCAATAACCTACACAGGAATGGACCTCATCAACGGTGGCGCACGGTTCATACGGTGTTCACACACTGAGGACGGATGAATGTGGTGACAGATCTAATAAACTGGCCAGTCTGTAACAACGGCACATGCACTGAGAAATACTGGCAGGTAATTTTAGTAGCCCAACGCTACTTATGTAAGGTCGTTGAAAACCCAACATTGGTTTCGCCCCTCATCATAGTCCATTCGTCTCCATTGAACTGATCCCCTACTTGGAAAGCAAGCACTGGCTTTCCAGCAAATGAACGAAGACTACGTCCTCCACTTCCGCACACAGAACAGACCAGAACTTAATTAAAAACAGCGAGATGAAACATGAGGAGAAAATGAGGTAGGATAGCCGATTAGTTGAAAACAAGCGTTCGTATTAAACGTACACATAGTTCAGTTCAGCCTTCGAAAGCCCCTCTCGCTCTTCTTCTGGTAAGTCGTTTAGTGGGTCCCGTAACAATTCACGATTGGATCTGATCTAGACGGAGGAGGAGGAATAGAAGGAATTCCAAAATATTAAAACCATTGGAAGTTGGATTGGAAGGATCCTCACACTCTGCACACACACACACACACACACACACACAAATGTGATATTCCGCCCTGCAACCAGCTCAACACAGTATTTACAAATTGCAAAGCGAATCCTTAAAATGGGAAAACTTAAAACAGTGCTTTCCTTTTGCAAGAAGCCTCAGAGCAGAAATATAAATAGGGGAGGGGCAGTGTTGGCGATTTGGAACTTCTTTTTTTCAACAGACATGCTCAAGTACCCTAGTGTGAATAGAATAGTGGGCGAAGAGTGGTTTGGAAGCAACCGAGTTGATAAGTGGTGGATGTCAGCTATGAAGAATCATAAGCAGAAATTGCATAGACCTAGAGTACAAAGCCCGATCCGACCGCAATTCAGGTAACCCCCAAACTACCATAGCACGGGGTCACTCACGCAGACCGAAATATGTAAGTGAAACTCCAAAAGAATATTTAACTGGAGAGTTTTGAAGTGAAGGATTCTGATTCCGATCTGACCCAGATTCAAGCAATTGTATACACACACGATAATTGTCTGAAAGGATACTGGATTCGCATTAGGCTGGAGAATTTACGGTCCACCTGGTATAAGGAACCACCTCTTTGATATGGTTGAATCGATCACTTCAACCAACTCCCCTGTCGGATAACCCATCGTGCGCCCAAACCGACAGTGCGTAAGTAAAGTTGCCTGTGCTCTGTGATCAAGCAAGCAGATGGGATTCGAGTAACCTAGGTGACAACAGCACCTTACTTAGTCACACAGCCTTCGGATGAACAGTCAATATTTTCTTGTATTTACCAGTGCAAGATTACAGCGTGACCGTCCAGTCCACGTTTGTGGGGATACATCACCGACACACCACGCACTTGTTAGCGGAGAATGTGGCTGCCCATCAAACTGGGTCCGAGAGACTGATTATGTCCTAAAGGTCGAAATGTTAAATTGAAGATGGAGTTGCGTCACATAGTCAGAGCCCCATCTGCGGCAAAGAACCAAGCAAAGTCAACTGCCAAAAATCTACTCAAACCTAGTTGGAGAGTGTAATTCGCCTTCATGTGCTTACAAGGCCCCGGATGCACCGGCCGTGCCTTTGCTTTCCAGCAACTCCTCGAACAAAACCATGTATTAGTAGAGATTTCTTAATTCTAGAAGCAGCCCTCAAGGCATTCCATCGAATTACCATATAAAGACGTCCTGGCACCACAAATATTCACCACAATTCCATCTACCCTCGCGTGAGAGTTTTCCGAGATCACCACAAAAAGTGGTATTCTTTGGGGCTGTCCGTTCAACATTGTAACCTAACCGTTGAACTTCTCGCACTGAAAGATCTGAAAGGCCTATTATTCAGACGGCACCAAGCTAGCTAGATTATATTCCAACAAAATATGACAACCTAAATCATATCGCGAGGCATTTCAGGATACGACATGCGCCTTCAAAGCGGGGTTTTAATTCATGACTGGAAGGATAGGACAGAGATCCTGGGGTTGTTTGATAGATCAACCTAACTGGATACTTACAACTCTTTAACTGGCTGCATTACCGAAGGAATAAGTACTTTTATCTCCCAGATTCACTCTGTTTTCGTTCGGCTGTTACGATTATGGGGCTCCAGCTTTTGGGTAAATTACAGGGATTACAACGGTACGATGGAGCTATTTCTGCTCTGAGATTGTGAAACTCGGCTACAGTGTGCTGGAGATAAAAGGAGACTGCTTGGAACCGACTTTCAAAACATTGTACACGAATCACGAAGATGCCTAGATGCGGCTAAATCGACCAGGTTGGCTACTTTACGTTTTCTCAGGCTAGGCACCTGATCGCCACATCATGGCTTGTTTGCTAAAAACCACACTGCATGGAACAAGACGTAGGTCAGACTAAGTATGACCTGGATGAAACGCTGAACAATGGACCTTGGCTGTATTGGCTTCTATCATCTGCAAGGTCGATATATCATAGACCAACTAAACACGTGACTAAATGGCACGAGTCAATCCGATTGTTGTATTCACTCAATTGTCCTCGATGTTTGAACGATGCAGACTCAACTTCGCCAAACACTATTTTTCACCGTTTCTCCTAGTTTCATGCTTATCGGCGGCCAAACTTGCCCTCTCAAATGGGTGACATAATCGCTGCGTTTCCAGTCAGGAAGAGTTCGAGCCTGTGTACTTCAACTAGCTTTCAACGAACAAAGTAAAGTTATAGACGATATACAGACCACGCCAATAAATAAGATTGTTCTGACTGTTACACACGGGTTTCACTAGAGTTCTCGGCACACACCTGAAGCAACAGAAGCAAACCTGAAGGAACACGAAGGCAATGTAAGTGGTACGGAAAGGAGTCTTGAAATGGCAGTTCGATAGAGATAACATACCGTGATCATTTCCTGTAATTTAGCTTGCGGGCTAACAAAAGCTACATCACCGGTTTTGGGGTCTGCAGAGAGGAAACAGTTGTTCACGCCCAAAAGTGCAGTTTTTCCTTCCTGGAACACTGGTTCGAATTGTTCTCGAGGGCCAATGGCGTCGGCAACGGCAACCAACAAGGGACTGGCACCTGTTGTTACCCCCAGGTATTTCCCATACCTAAAACACATTTGAAGATAATGAAGAGTAGCATGCCTGCAGGAAACTAAACAGAACAGAAGTGTTGCGAAAAGAGATCCGTC